AAAAGGGGGGGAAAAAAAAAAAAAAAAAAAAAAAAAAAGATGGAGCAAACTGAGCATTTTATTAGCATCACAGAAAAGGCTGTGTGCACCTCCCAAAAAGCTGATCACTGGCCATGGGACACCAGCTCCCAGCAGGAGCAAAAGCCATCCTCTAGCCGCCACCACAGCACCCTCTGTGGAGCCCGTCCCAAGGGCAGAACAAAACCCAACAAAACCCTTCTCACAGACTTTAGGTATCCTGCAACACATTCCCAGACACCATAAAATGGCTCACATAGTTCAGATGTACAACGAGATAAGGCTGGAGCAGAGCCCAGTGGAGGAAAGGACGCTTTCATTCAAGTTAATCGTGCTTAGGTAGACCAATTAACATCTACCTGCCCTAGCCAAGCCTAACAGGCAAAGGAGCTCTTCTGCTGGTGGGAAATCAAAGATCCAGCAGCTCCCAAAGCAGTCGAGAAGCAATGTTTTATGCTGCTCTCCCAGCCAAGACTTCAGCTAGTGGCAAGAAACCTCTAAGCTGCGCTATTCTTCTCAAAGCAGACCCCAATAGATTTTGGGAAGCTGCATGTGGCTGAAGGCACCAAGTTTGACTGCTCTCTAATGGGATTTAAACCCCTAACTGCATCCATCACTTCCAAAAAGTTGGACTTTGGGGGGTCACCAAAGCATCCTGAATGTTTTCTGTGCTTAATATCAAGTTACAGACCAACAGATATACAGAGAGCACAGAAGGGAGCTGAGGAAAGGCTACAACAACTTTTATTTTCCTTACTTCCAGGTGGCCCTGGATCCTGGGAGACAAAAGCTCCTTTCTCATCCCAGGACAAACACATCATAAAAAGATAAAAACCTCCTAATCCTCAACCAACTCTGGCAAGACATTCTCATAAGAAACCAGCTGGGTGCAGGTGGAAAATCCTACACGAGGAAAAACAAAAGCAAGACGCTTCCATGCTTACCATAACGTTGGTGGCAACTACCCTAGGATCATTGCAGACAGATTCAATGAAGAACACCTGCAAAGAAAAAAAAAGCTCACCTGAAGGCCAGCAATAAGGTTGGTAGCACCCACCCAGCTCCTTGCTCAACTCAACCTCCTCCCTCCTTGATCGGAGAGCTCTACCTCTGCCCCACTCCCATCCTTTCCTTCTCCAGGGCTCCGGATAGGGAATGAGGGAAGAGTTTCACATTTTTAACCAAACCCAGCAGTGAAATCTCCCTTACACAGGAGCATCGTGAGGACAACATGTTAGTGAAAGAAGATACACTAACAATATGCTAAACGTGGACTATGCAATACAGGCAGCAGCCCAACGGTACCAACCTTGAACCCATTTTCTTTGGCAAAGTTTAGGATCATCCCTCTCCTCTCCCGTGTGGTATTGGTGGCATCAAAAACCTTTAAAAGCAAAGATTTTGATTAGCACCAAGAGCACCTGGTTTGCCACTGAGCCATTCCTCAGAGAAGGAACTGCAGAGCGAACTGCACAGGGCACAGCGCCTTCAGGACCAGGACTGCTGCCAAACGCCGTGGAGCACATCTCTGAGCTTACCGCAATCTGGCCAGCCTCCTCCGTCAGGTACAGCTTGACATCCCTCAAGGCAGCCAGGGCACATTGCCTGCAAAAGAGGTGAGAGATGCGTGGTCCTGATGTCCTCAGAGATGCTCGCGGCAGCCAGCGCACAGACCCCCAAAGGAGGGCAGGCTTTGCGGCTCCTCCTTACCACCTCCCCCCTTCTCCCAGGGACATTTAGGAAAGACACTTTCAGTCTGCCAAAAATACAAGAGCCACGCGTGCCGAGCAGTGTGCTGATCTTCACAGCAGAGGCAATGGTGGATGAAAAAGCAAAGGCCAAACCTCATGGCAGACCTCATACCCTACATTGCTGAGCCTGAAAGCGATGCATTGGTGACGCTGAAGTTACCAAGCCCTGACAACTTCAGTTTTCAGCTCTTGGTGCCCAAGTCAGGCCCTCCTTATGCAGGCAGGGAAACCTCAAGCTAGAGCCCAGCTTTTCTGTCCATCATGCCCTAAAAAAAGCTGGGCAACCCCACTGCCGGCCGTGGGCTCCACCGCCCATTTAGGACGTGGGTATAAGCACAGATGCAGCGCCCACGCTTACCTCCTGACTTTCATGGCCTCCTCGTTGTCGGGGCGGAAGAAGTCATAGGAGCTGTAATGCTTCACCGCCTCGCGGCGATACTCCCCCACGTTGAAAACTGTGTGGGAAAGGCAAAGACCATCAAAACCAGGAGCAGGCGTCAGCACAGCTCGACTCAGCTGTGCAGCTCCTGCAGATAATGCTTTCTAGCAACGGGCCAAGAAGGGACATCCTTAGAGCACAAGGCTCAGGGACATCCTTTGGTCTTCAAAGTGAAGGAGAACCTGGGCTTCAGCAGAAGCGATGGAAGGACATTGATATTTGGCCCATGGGATCTTGATCCCCCCACCACCTTCCACTCCCCAAAGGACTGAGCTCCTCGAGCACCTCCCAAGGACCCAGACCTCATGCTTTCCCCAGGCAGCCAGTGAAAGCCTCACCTTTCGTTGGGACACCAATCCAGTTGAGGTAGCGAGTCAGCTTCTTGGAGATGTAGGTCTTCCCACGGGCTGGGAGGCCAACCATCACTATCACAGTGGGGGAATTGGCAAGCTGCGGCCCACAGGCTACGAGGAAGAGGAGAAAGCACAACATGAGTAGCCGTTAATCCTCCAGCTCATCCTGTAGCCACCCTACAAGGCACTTGCTCTTGACCCAGCCTTCCCCCCAGTCCTTCAGCAGCTAGAGGAAACCCAAAGCCTCTGCTCCCTGTGCACCATCATCTCTGCAGTATCTCCTGTGCCTCCCTCTCATCTCACAGCCATGGCAAGAGGAGAACATCTTGATGGCTACAAAGCAGGCAAGGAACCAGCAGCTGCCTGCCCCAGCCTCCCAGCAGGACCTCTGTGCCTCAGTTTCCCCATCTGCAAAACAAAAATCAAGGCAAACACAACCTCCCATTCCCACAGTTTGGCCAATTCTGTGAAAAGCTAGAGGATGGCCAAGGACTTTGGTCCAGTCCTCACAGCAGCACACTTCAGATACGGCTGCTGTGCTAAAATATCAGGTCTGCACCAAGAGCTTCACCCACAGAAAGCAACTTCCAAAAACTTCTGCAAGCTTTTTAGCTGATACACATGCAAATGCAACCAACTAACTGTTTTTTCTGAAGACAAGCAGGGCCTGAGGACTGCAGAACCACCAGCATTTAAAAGAAAATATGTGAGTGACTTATCCCTTTTTCCTCATAAACCTGTTTTAAGCTGGGGGATTTTTTGTTGGTGTGAAGAGGGTCCATGTCAAACAGCTGGAAATAAATCCAGAGGCATTACTTAGTGATGATTTGGCAAGTGAAGAGAAACTCCTCTCCAATTCACCCAAATGGCATGGCCAAAATGCAGACAAAGCAGCCAGGCTGCCCAGGTGAATTGCTTCCCCCCCCAAGTCCTTTCGAAAGTAAATTCCTGGTTCAGTTTGGAGGAAATTGCTGAGGTTGCAGGATGGGGAATGCAATTTGGGAATTTTTTTAGTCCTCCACAGCCTGGTCCCAGTGCCATGGGATGCATCTGGACTCTCTGGACCGCTCACCCCATGGACCACGTAACACGGCAGCATCCCTCTCCCATGTCTCACCCCTGCTCCCCTCCAGGGTTTGCCCTGCAGAATTGCTTCTCACATGGTGCTGCACACACAAAAGGCCAAGGCACAAAGCCAAGCGCTTTAAATACAGGAAAGGAAGATCTTAACGATGCCTGATGGAATTCGGATTAGTCTTTCATGCCGCCCGGCGTCACAGGCCAGGAGCCCTCCCGGCAAAGGCAGAGACCAGCCCCAATAGTTGAGACCCTCCGGGGGATTTCTCACCCACCCTTCAATCCAGCCGGTGAGGCCAGAGACCTCACGGGAAAGGAATGCAGGGAGTGAGCGGCTGGTGGCAGAACCATAAAAACGCAACTTAATTACGGTCTGGGTGGAGAGCTCTGCCTGCCCATGCCGCAGGTGGGACCAGGCGACGGCGGCAGCGATGCGGGGATGCAAGGGACGGGGTGGTGGGTTGGGGTAGATTTTTCTCAGTGGAGATTTGGGAAGGGCAAACAGACGGAGAAGTAGCCAGACAGCATGCAAGGCATATGGGATTTCCCTCGTCCTTCTAATAAAAAAAAAAAATCCAACAGCTAAAGGAGCTGAATTAAGACCACAAGGAAGAGTTACAGCAGTGGTGCCCCGAAGGGCAGAGAAGAGCCACCCATCACCTGCCTGTCTCACCAAACAGACTCAGCAGGCAGGAGATGCGAAAACTATCTACAAGAGATTTTCTTTTTTTTTTTTCCTTCCCCCTAAATATTCCACATTCCTCAGGCCGGAGCTGCCCTCACACTTGCTCCCTTTGTGTGACCTGCATCCCTGGTGCTGCGTTTCAAAAGCCTGGGCCAGCTCCCACTGATTTCAGCAGCAAGCACTGATTTTGCCTGTGGGGGTACCAAGGCAGCTGTGCAACGTATCCAGAAAAAACGGTTTTTTTCCCTCTTTAACAGTCTCACATCCTCAACCAACCTATGGGTGCAAGTCTTTTTTTGCACAAAAACCAACCACATATTAAATAAAGGGAGGGGGGAAGGAATAATACCTGAAAAAAAAGACCCCTCCTTTCCCTACCTGCCAGCGGACAAAGGATCTCAAAGAGCGGCACCAAGAGGATTTGGGGCCATTAAAGTAATAGGGACGGGGACAATGCCAGGTACTGTTCATGTCCCTTTGGCTCCAGACAGCTGAGATGGTCCCAGAGTTGGCGCTGCAGTGGGCACGTTAAACACCTGTATTTGAGGAATCTCTCCCCAATTCAGTTTGCTGCCAAAGGAAAGATCCAGGTTCCCCTTGGACGCTGAAAAAGCACCTGTTTACAGACCTGGGAAGCACCTCCCAAAACTCCAGGACATCAAGCGTGCATCTTTTAATCAGCAACCTGAGCCCAAACCCAGCTAAATCACAAAAGCCTCCAGGAAACTTTGCAACAGGGATGTAACAGAAACCAGTGTTTTGCTCCCAGTGCTTCACAAAGACCTAATTCATCATTTCTTTTCACCACTGCTGGAGAGATATCGGGGATTTCAGTGCATATTCATTACTCGTTATCAACATCTACCCAGGTAAGGCAAGGTCAGGGATGACTTTTGAAAGGCTCAATCAGGATATTTAGAAGCAGCTGATCACTTGTGCCTTCTATCTGCTAGGAAGTCAGCGGCGATGCGCTCCCATGCTTCACTGGAGCAGGTGGGAGGAAGGAGAAAAAAAAAAAAAAGGGAAGGAAATTTGCTTCTATAAAAGGTTAGATAAAACAGCCACCTCCCCACTTCAGGCATTTTTACTGTCTCCTCGTAAGAAGCGTTCCCACACGCCTCCCGCTCCCGCAAGCCCACACCACATGTTCTACGTTAGTCTTACATTCCCCTTTTCCAGCTTCTTTCCCATTGCAATTCCCTGACACCCTCACGGATGCACGAGAACGCGTTTCTGCGCCGCACATCGCGCAGACGCGCGTGGAACCGGTATCACCCCGCCGCCGTGCGAGCTGTGGTTTTGCATCTGCATCACCGCCGCATTTTCATGTGCTCTCGTCCACCGAGCCAGAGCAATGGGAGAAGCCGGAGCGATGGGAGAGAGAAAAGCAGCAGCGGCCCCTTTTCTCCTCAAGCACCCCCACCCGAGCCCCCTCCCCTCGCCTGGCTCTGCCCATCCAGCCGCCTGCGACGACTTGACTTTCCCAGCCCCTACGTGAGAGACGTGCAGCTTGACAGCAATTTAATGGATCGCCATCAAAAGGCCAGATGAAGGCATCGCTTCGCATCCATTCCAGCCTCCCGTTGACGAGGAAACGGGCAATCGGACTAATTATTTCACACGCAGGGAGCAAGCAGGCGGGAGATTTTTGAGGGATGCTCCCAGGGATGCTCCCGCTCCCTCCCCAGGGACCGCGTCGGCCTCGTGTCCGTTATACCTCCATTCCCACCCGGCTTTGTGGCTCTGCTCTTTGTTGCTGCCAAGGAATTAATAGCGCCTCGAGTTTAAAATAGACACCTCAAGTTTAAAAAAAAAACTAAAAAAGCCCAATAATGCTCTTTCCACACAGCGCAATGAATGATGCCCAGCATAGCTGGCTCCCACCCCGAGAGAAAATAACTAGAAGCCACATTACGGTATTAATAAGCCCCTCAATAACTTAATGTATTAAAGTATGTTAATTATCTGCTCTGCCAAGGAGGGAATTCTCTCCTCTGAGAAACCAGGTGAATGAATAAAGCGGCAAAAAACCACAGGGAGGCTCCGCGTACACAAGGGATTTCTTTCAAAGGTGTCAGCCCTTGAGAAAAATCAAACCAAACAGATACATCTGCAAAGCATTAAGCCAGGAGACATTTCGCCCCACTAAAAGCAAAGCCCCGTGGCAACCCAGATGTTCAGCCTGTTGCTGAAAGCCATTTCCTCAGCAGCTTCTGCTGCAGAGCTGCCCTCGCCAAGCGCAGGCAAACATCTGCTCTGGGGCTCAGCTGCACGCCTGACCCATAGCCACGGGGCAACAACATGGGGCAAATGCATAGGAATTTATTTTTATTATTATTTTTTAAAGGGGGGGAACTTTGCAGCCAAGGGAAATAAACATCCAAAACAACTTTAAAAACCCCTGCTCAAGAAAAGCATCGGAAAGCCTGATTCACCCAACTGCCCAAGCCACCTCCATCCTTTGCCAGGCTGCGAAGTGCCACCGCCTCCGTCCCGGCTCCGCGGATTCCTGCGACGCTTAGTGAGTTACGCCGAGTTGCCCAACTGGCAGGCTGTCAGTTTAGCTGTTGGGCGAGTTAAAAGAGCTGCCTCTTGAGCTTTAGTATTGTATTATGATTCATGATTTGTTTTATAGTAACAGCAGGGTGACCCAAGCGTTTGCTTTTATTATTTTTTTTTTTTTTAAAGCGCGGAGGTTGGGTTTAAACACTCAAGATGCTTTCCGAGCTTAGAAACCACTGCAGAAGTTTCAGCATTAATTTCTGCCCTCTCCTCCACCTGCCTCCTATCTCATCCCAAGCACAGCACAGGGTAAAGCGCAAACAGCTGGGGATTTTTTTTCCAAATATTGCCCTAATCCTGGCCCCCCCCCCAAAAAAAAATTAATAAATCTCAGAGCAAGGTGCCAGATACCCTGGAAATCCCAGCTGAGCTGGTACCCGGGTGCCGAGGTCAGCAACCTGCTCCCTTCCCTTTTAATCCCAGGAATTCCGGGGGGAGGGGAGGGAGTGGAAATTGGGACACGCGTGTGCTGGCTCCACGGGGCCGGGGGAGCTGCCGTGTGATGGCTGCACCTTCCTCCAGCTCCCAGGGCTGGAAGTGAGTCACGGGTGGGATGCGGAGACCGGGATGATGCTGGAGGAGGACAGGGGAGGGCGGGATGCTGCATGGATATTAGGGGAAATAATAGAATAATATCCCTCCGGGGTGCCAGGAGGAGGGGGGCTGCTTCCCATCCCACCCCATCCCACCCCATCCCGCGGGGATGCTGCGGTGCCGGTACTCACAGCGGCGGGGCAGAGCCGGGCGGTTGTCATTGGGAAGCCAAATCTTCTGGATGCGGCTTTGCGTCAGCTCCATGGGCATTTTTAAAACAAAGGTCTTTTTGCGCTCCGCGTCCCCCTTGATGCGTTTGCGGGGCGG